GGGCAGTGTTTCGTTCTGCTGTGCATGGGGTCGCTATGAGTTGGAAACGACTCGATGGCACTTAACAACAACAACATGCTTTACTGATTCTGTTTCTCTAGAAACTCTAACCTAAGACAGAGGCTCAAATGATGTAATCCACAGAGGTCTGCTGAGAGGGGTATAGAAAAAATGTGGAAGACAAGGAAGACATAATACAGAAAATATCATGGACTGCCAGAAGAATGAACAATCTGTCTTGGAATAAGTGCAACTAGAATACTCCTTAGAAGGGAGAATTTCCAGATTTTGTCTTATACTTTGGTTATGTCAGAAGGAACCAGTCCCTACAGAAAGATATAATGCTTGGTAAAGGAGAGGGTCAGCAAAAATGGGAAGATCCTCATGAGATGGATTGACACAGTTGGCTGCAATGATGGGCTCAAGCACAGCAAAGATTGTGTGGATGATGGAGAACAGGACACTGCTTTGTTCTGTTGTGTGTACTGTCACCATTAGCTGGAGCCAACTTGATGCACCTACCAACAACAACAAATTGGGCACAGAGTTTTGATTATTATTCTAAAATTCAGTGAAATGTTTATTTAATCAAATATAATAATAACATGAGTATTTCTAAAGGCTTAGCTAGAAAAATAAAATAAAAACAAACTTTAGCAGGAATGAAGACAATGCATAGAAGGGTAGATTTTATTTGTCAATATAGTGTACAAGTAGTCCTGGAATTACGATGTATTTGAATTATGAAGAACCACATATCTGACCCCCTTTTTTTTTCTGGGGCGGGGCGGATACCTCTTATCATTAAGGAGCTCTGGTGGTGCAGTGCCTAAAGCATTGGATTGCTAACCAGAAGGTTGGAGGTTCAAACCCACCAGCCGATCTGCAGAGGGAAGATGGGCAATCTACTTCTGTAAAGATTTACCTACTCAGAAATGCAATGGGGGTCTCTACGAGTCACTCAATGGCAGTAAGTCGGGTTTTGGTGTTCTCTATCATTAGTAATATGTAATACATGCAGTGTTGCAACATGTAATTTGCTGATGTTATCATTCTCAGATGTTCATTTACAGATAGGTGTTCAATGTTATGATTTACTGTTCAAAACATAGCCATATAGCAGGCTATGGAAAAAAAAAAAAAAAGAGGGATTTGACTTAGTCAGAAACTTGGGACTACTTATATTTTAAAAAGGGATCAATTTCAAAAAAGAAAACAAAAGTCCAGGTAGGAAAAAATTTATGCAAAGTACTTATCAGGAAGAATTACAGAAACCCTGAATATCATTCCTCTGCCATGTTTCTAAAAAGGAAAAAGAAAAAATATTCCCAACATCATTCAAGTCAATTTATTGCTCCTTTGGCATTATCATATAAATGGAAAATTCCAAATAATCTCACATCCTTGATTTTGAGTAGTCCAGCGTGGAGAAATACCCTCCATCACAGTTTAGGAGTAGAATTTCTCAAACACTCATTATATCCTGATTTATATTCAGAAGACTGCTACAGAAGAAGCATTACTTATAGAAACCTTCTGTATCTTAAGTCAAGGTACAGAGAAAAAGGTAGGAGGACATTTTTCTCTATTTCTCCTTTCCCATATGTTTGCTTTACAATTAGGAAAAGCCCTCAGTTAGAAGTATACAGATGAAGAAGTACACAGATGAAGTACACAGATCTGGTGAGTCAGTAAAATGCAGACAATTCTAGGTAATTCTGGCTCTCAGAAAAGACTTGGTTTGATGATGATTCTTCATAGGTCACATTTCTGGCATTAGGAAAACAATGCAGTATGTCTTCTGTGCTGTTTCTGATCAGGACTGCTCTTTCAGTTCTGTTGGTCTCCACTCCTACAGGAGAAGCTGCTGCCCACATACGGAGGTGACAGTCTAATCCTGCCAAGAGCCTAGCCTTCAATTCAGTCATCTATAACAGAATATCCACTTGGATCCACTCAACACTGAATCCTCTTACACACCAAGCCATGCCAGGATATCAACTTTGTGCACTATTCTTGAAGCAGGCTTCGAGAAATAAGCATCCTCATCACTTCATTGCTACCTGTGAGTGAGAAAGAGTGAAGGACTTAGTAGCAGCAAGTCTGAGGGCTCCCTAAGCTCTGACCAGGGTGAGCCAAGGCAGCTGTGGATTTAAATGAGGACTGTTGCTTTTATCACCAGGAAGGATGAGATTATTAAAGATTTCTCTCCAATGTATAGAAAAATGTCAGAAAATTAGGAATCATATTTACTTAAAAAAACAAAACTAAACAAAACCCAAAACAACAACAAAAAAATAACTTTCCTGACAGGTTAAAAATGCTTATATTAAATAAAAAAGGCAGAACATGAAGTTGTACCTATATTATGATTCAATTTTTTAAAAAAACGTATCTATGAAAGTACAGGTACAATACCATGAATTGCTTGATATGGCCCTTCTAGCCATAGTATTTGTGACTCCCACTAGATGACTGAGTGGGGGGTGGGACTATGCATATTGTTTGTGGCCTACCAATGGGATTGGATAGTTTCCTAAAAATGTAAATAAGATGCACAGTGGTGGGACCATGCAAATTGGTGTATGAAACCCTATCATGGGGATTGGTCAGTTATGCTACCCCATTAGGATTAAAATGAGCTATTGTAGAGGAGGGAAGCTCACGGCAATCAAGTAAGAAGACCCAGGAGGAGAAGGAATCCTGTGCTGAACCAGGATACAGAGAGTTGTGACACGAGAGATGCTGACAAGCTCTGGCAGAGAAATGGTGGCAGCAGAACCAAGAGATTGGCACGAGAGTGTGGTGGGTTTCCTGGTCCATGGAGCAAGAAAGCTGAATACCTTTGGGAAGGAGTCTTGCTGGCTGAGTGGGGTAACTCTGAGCACTTACCGGTAAAGCTAAAAGAGCTCTGTTAACACTTGCCTGAGGAGGGTAAAGGCCACAGGGCCGAGAGGCCGAGGATCAGAGAGAAGTGTGCCTGCAGGCTTTGCTGAGAAGAAGCTGCCCTGTTTGAAGAACTGTAGCCTGAATTGCAATCTGTCACTTCCCTATTGAACCCCAAATCCTAAGTATTGTCTGTGAGTTCTGTGTGGCCCCTGGAACAAATTATTGAACACAGAAGAAAAAAGAGTGCAATGGGAGAGACAGCTAGTGTCAAAACTGGCAAAAAGATTAAAGAGTGGAGGCACATCTAACTTCTACCTCACAGGAATCAGCTTTGGGCTGTTTATGTTGATCTTGATCCCTCTTCCCCCTTCTGAAATCAGAGGTCAGACACTGGCCCACACCATTTTTACAACAGGAAAATGTACAAAAGGAAATGCACAAGATACTAACTTCTCTACTATTTTACAGCTTTTCCACAATAATATGTTATTTCTTTGGTTATCAAAGAATTGAATTTTAAAGAAACAAAATGATTTTTCCTGAAAGGAGGGGATCAATGGTTTGCTTCATTTTTAGCAGTAACCATTAATAGAAAATCACAGTGGAAAAGCTCAGCATCATCAGACAGAACAAGGCCAGGGGAACAGATCATCAATTGCTCATATGTAAGTTTAAGATGAAGCTGAAGAAAATCAAAACAAGTCCACGAGAGAAAAAATACAACCTTCAGTACATCCCATCTGAATTTAGAGACCATTTGAAGAACAGATTTGAGGCACTGAACACCAATGACCGAAGACCAGATGAGGTGTGTGATGACACCGAGGATATTACACATAAAGAAAGCAAAACCAAAAAAAGGTCATTAAAAAGACAGGAAAGAAAGAAAAGGACCAAAATGTATGTCAGAAGAGACTGAAACTTGCTCTAGAATGTAGAAGTAAAAATGCTTAACAGAAGATTTCAAAGGGCTGCTCAAAAAGACAAAAACCCACTGCCATTGAGCTAATTCCAACTCACCGCAACCCTACAGGACAGAGTAGAAATGCCACATAGGGCTTCCAAGGCTGTAAATCTTTATGAAAATAGATTGCCTCATCTTTCTTCCATGGAGTGGCTGGTGGGTTCAAACTGCCAACCTTTTGGTTAGCAACCAAATGCCTCAACCACTGCTTCACCAAAGCTCCCTCAAGAAGATAAGGTAAAGTAGTATAACGAAAGATGCAAAGAACTGGAGTTAGAAAGTCAAAAGGGAAGAACACACTTGGCATTTCTCAAGATGAAAGAACTGAAAAAAAAATTCAAGCATCAAATTGCAATACAGAAGAATTCTACAGGCAAAATATTGAACGATACAGAAAGTATCAAAAGAAGATAGACAGAATAAAGTGTTACTATACCAAAAAGAATTGGTCAATGTTCAGCCATTTCAGGAGGCAGCATATAATCATGAGTTAATGGTACTGAAGGAACTGGTGAAAAACAAGACTCCAGGAACTGGAATACCTAAATGTTTCAACAAACGTGCAATGGAATGAAATTTGGAAGACCGTTTCCTGGCCAACCAACTGGAAGAAATCCATATTTGTCCCCATTCCAAAGAAAGGTGCTCCAAAAGAATGTGTAAATTATTGAGTATCATTAACATCATACACAAGCAAAATTTTGCTGAAAATAAAACGGTTGTAGCAGTACATCAACAAGGAGCTGCCAGAAATTCAAGCCAGATTCAGAAGAGGATGTAGAATGAGGAATATCATTGCTGATGTCAGGTGGACCTTGGCTGAAAGTAGAGAATACCAGAAAGATGTTTACCTGTGTTTTACTGACTATGCAAAGACATTCGACAGTGTGGATTACATTATGAAGAATGGGAATTCCAGAACACTAAATTGTGCTCATGTGGAACTTGCACATAGACCAAGAGGCAGTTGCTCAAACAGAAAAGGGTACTGTGTGGTTTAAAATCAGGAATGGTGTGTATCTGGGTTCTATCCTTTCATCATACTTATTCAATCTGAATGTTGAACAAATAATCTAAAAAGCTGGACTATATGAGGAAGAATACAGCATCAGGATTGGAGGGAGATTTATCAACAACTACCAATATGCAGATTACACAACTTATCTTGCTGAAAGTAAAGAAGACTTGAAGCACTGATGAAGATCAAAGACTATATATAGCCTTTAGTATGGAATACATCTCAACATAAAGAAAACAAAAATCCTCACAAATGGACCAATAAACAACATCATGATAAATGTAGAAAAGACTGATGTTGTCAAGGATTTCATTTTACTTGGATCCACAATCAATGCCCATGGAAGCAGCAGTCAAGAAATCGAATGCCATATTACATGGGGTAAATCTGTTGCAAAAGACCTCTTTACAGTGTTCAAGAGGCTAAGGTGTGTCTGATGCAAGCCATGGTGTTTTCAGTCATCCCATGACTTTTTACATGTGCATGTAAAAGCTGGGCAATGAATGAGAAGGACTGCAGAAGAACTGATATATTTGAACTATGGATTTGGTGAAGAATACTGACTATACCATGGACCACCAGAAGAATATACAAATCTGTCTTAGAAGAAGTACAGCCAGCATGCTCTTTAGAAGCAAGGATGGCAAGACTTTGTGTCTTGTACTTTGGTCACATTAACAGGAGGGATCAATCTCTGGAGATGGATATCATGCTTGGTAAAGCAAAGGGTCAGTGAAAAAGAGGAAGCCCCTTAATGAAATGGACTGACACACTGGCTGCAACAATGCGCTCAAGCACAGCAGCTATTGTGAGGATGGTGCAGGACTGGGCAGTGTTTCATTTTGTAGTGCATAGGGTTGCTATGAATTGGATCTGACTCAACAGCAACAAAGAACAACAGTAACTAATGGAAAGAGAAATATGAACCCTCTTGAGGAATGAGTAATCAATCACACAGTCTAAAAGAAAACCCAATGTAAATTTTCAGATTTATCTTATAGTGAAGTCCATGATCAGATAAAGTGATAAGTAGGTGTGTCCCAATTTTTCTACAAAAGGATGACACTGTGGTCTGAAGGTAAATCTGTTTGTTTTTTCCCATTATAGAAAGGTTGAAAGACAGAGTCAGAATGAAGGTAAAGTTTCCCATACTTATGAAGTCCGGGTGAGATGTACTTCCAGGAGTAGTAGGAGAAAAGAAACTACAGGAAATTTAATGAAAGCAGTAGGGATTGAGTTAATAAATATTCTTTATGAATGAGATTTTGAAGCACATAATTAGGACATAACACTAGAGAAGTAGCTCTCAAAGTGTGTTCCCAGGGAAGCAGCAGCAGCTTTACCTGAAAACTCTCCTCAGACCTACAGAATCAGAAACTCTGCAGGTGGGGCCGCAACTTGTCTTTGAACAAGTCCTCTAGGTGATTCTGATGCAAGCTTAAGTTTGAGAAGGAATGCTGTTACGGACTGAATTTTGTCTCCCAAAATATCTGCCATGGGTAGGCCATAACTCTCAGTATTGTATAATTATCCTCCATTTTGTGATCTCATGTAATTATCCTATGTGTTGTAAATTCTAACTTCTATGATGTTAATGAGGCAGGATTAGAGACAGGATACAATCTATAGGGTAACACTGTATCTTTAAAGATATTAAAGAGATTAAAAATGGAGCAAAGATCAGAGGGACTTCAGTTATCACTAAGAAAGAGCGAGGGGGTAGAGTGTGTCCTTTGGACCTGGGGTCCCTGTGCTGAGAACTTCCTAGACCCAGAGGAAGACAGATGCCAAGATGTATGGGGATTTCTAAAGAACACTGCACCCACAGATGTTGAAAGGAGGTAAAGACATTTCTCCCAGAGCCAAGGGAAAGCAAAAGCATTCTCCTAGAGCTGTCACTCTGAATTTGTACTTCTAGCTTCCCAAATTGTGAAAGAATAAGTTTCTGCTCGCTAAAGTCATCCATTTGTGGTATTCCTGTTAAAGCAGCACTAGATCACTGAGACAATTGTTTTGAGAGGCAGGGAAGGCCAATATGGTAACAGGCTTCTCCTTTCTATGTATGTCCCCTATTAAAGCAGCCCCACACTACTTCACTGAAAAGTCTCTTAGAGAAGCCCCTGCCCTATCTGCTTTACCTACAGTTAAACAATACCAATTACCACACTAGGTGGGGCAAAATCACATTACTTCAACAATTAGTCACTGGCTATAGAGAGTGGAAGGAGCTCTGGTAGTGCACCAACCACTCCACAAGAGATAAAGATGAGGCAGTCTGCTTCCATAAACATTTAAAGCCTTGCAAACCCTATGTGCAGTTCTACTCTGTCCTATAGAGTGGTTATGAGTTGGCATTGACTGAATGGCAGCAGGTTTTGGGTTACAGAGAGTGGAAGAAGCCATGTTCTAAGCCTAACTCCAATGCTTTCACATTTCCTGGCCTGAATGTCAAGATGTCAATGATTTATTTTATTTAAAACCCACTACAATGCTGATACTGTTACCTTTTAGACCACCTGGCAAATAATTTGCAGAGTTGCTAGTGATCATGTTGGCTCACATTTGCCCTGTAAAATTATTATATAGCAGTTCAGAAGCCCTAAGGGAAAAGTACTTTGTAAAAGTAAAGAATAGTCACTGTTGTGGTTTTCAAAGTGTTTTCTCTCACATTATCTCAGTGTGACCCTTCTCTCAAATATAAAAAGAGAAACAAAAGAACCACTGTGATTAAATGACTTACCCAAATTACAGAGAAGAGCCAAGGCTACAATTATGGCTTCCTGACTCCCAGCCTAGTGCTCTTTCTATTGCACCGCCAGGCCACTTCCAGAGCAGGGAAGAGGAAAGGAAGGAAAGAGGAAACTGAGAGACAGGCAGGGCACAATGTAACCCTGAGCATCAATCACAGCATGGGGACAGAAAGCCATGGCACTGATCAGAAGGTACTGATCCTGTAAACATTCTGAAAAGCCAAGAAAGACCTCTGGAGATTTTTACCTTCTAGGATTTGGTGAACCCTGGAGTCCCTCACGTACTGCTGAACAGCATAGTCTTTCAAGTAGCCATATCCTCCATGCATCTGTAAAGCCTGGTTGCAAATCTGTAAGGAGATAGGGATTAGGTATCTATGACTTTCCAAAAACTGGAACAAGTAGCATCTCTCCTCACCCCTACCCCACAATCCAGCAGCCTGCTGTGAACTAATAAGAGGAAGAACAACCCAAAGATAAACATCCAAGCCCCAAGATGGGCTCTATGGTTACCATGCTCAGAAACAAGTGAAATTTACCTACTAAACCTGAAAGCTCCCATCACACAACTCAGACTTTCTTGCTGATCCTATGCTGGGAAGGAGCGGCCCATAACTACCCTGGCTGGGAGTGTAAGACGTAAAGATGCCATCTAGTGGCAACACAGCCTCAGTGTGGGAATTTCCCCTGACATTAAAAATGGCACAGTGCTGAACTGGAGCAAGAGGTACTGGCTGCTCCAAACCTTACAGAGGCAGTGTTTTATCCAGAACACAACAAAGTGGTAGTGACATAATGAAATGTATAATGGCATGGAGAGCTCCCATGTAGACCTTTCATGGGTTAATTTGCTGACTTCTGAAGTTGACTTATACCTTGCAACATCCTTAGACCTCAGGCTGTTCCACACTCATTCCAGGAGAGCAAGAGGGTATTATCACTTACAGCAAAGCATTCATCTGTAGCAAAGAGTTTAGCCATGGAACACAGGGCCACGGCATCCTCCCACTCTTCCTGCAGGGCCACAGCTGCATGGCGGATCATAAGCCGTGAGGCCACCAGTCTTGCTGCCATATCAGCCAGTTTGAACTGCAGATACTGCAGCAACAAGGGAGAAGAGAACCAACAAGACAGGGGGGCTTGGACAACACTGATCTGGGACCTTCCAAGAAATCTCTAATGAAGTATCTTCTCTAAGTAACCCAAAGCCTCAAGCTTCTACTTCTTCTACAAAGAAAGTTTACTGTTTTGTAAGTTCAAAATCCACTTCACTTTCTAATATCATCATCTTCTTAAGAAAGGGTCATCAATAGAAATGAACCATAAGTTCTGGCTAAGATGTGTGGTGGTCTCCATAGCCTCACTCTTCCAGAGAATATGGACCACAGAAGAGTTCTCAAAGGCTTAAGAGTGGAAAGCAAATGCAGATACCATACCTGGTTACTGGCCAGACGTTCTCCAAACTGCTTGCGGATATTAAGATGGTTTCGGGTGAGGATGACTGAAGCATGAGCAGCCCCCAGAGAGCAGGAGGCTAGAAAGAAGAGTAGAGACATTTCAATGGAGCTGAGAGGATAATGAAAGATGTCCCAACCCATTACATTCTGGCCTACCCCTCCACATTCTCACCAACATTGATTCTCCCTCCGTTCAGTCCTTTCATGGCTATGAGGAAGCCCTGCCCTTCATTCCCAATTCTGTTGGCCACGGGGACAGCACAGTCTTCAAAGATCACGGCTCGAGTTGGCTGAGAGTTCCACCCCACCTGGCAAAAATCAAGGACTGTCTAGCTGTCCAACCATTATCCCTCAGGGCAGCATTACCTGCTGCAGAAAACCTGTGAAGTAATGTTTCATTACCCTGGAACTTAGAAACTTGAGACCTCAAAATGGGGGGAAAAAATTAGATTTAAAGACTTGTCACCTCTCACAAGGAGCCATGGTGGTGCAATGGTTAAACACACAGCTGCTAACTGAAAGGTCAGTGGTTCAAAGCCACTAATGGCTCTGTAGAAGAAAAGATCTTGTGATCTGCTTCTGTAAAGATTATAGCCTAGGAAACCCTGTGGGGCAGTTTTACTGCCATACAGGGTGTGTTGTAGAGCAATGTCACAGAGTTTGCATAAGCAAAAACAAATGAGGTTTACAGAGATAGTCTGGACTGGGAAAATGTTCAAATCCAGAGTGAAGATGGCCACTCCACCAGACAATGAAGAAGAAAACATTCTTGTATAGTTAAATCAAGAACTAAAAAGTTACAAAATCATAATAGGCTGAAAGACAATCAGGAGAGTCAAAGTGAGAGTTTTACAGGGATAGGTGGGTGACACATAAGTGGGATTACATGATTGGTTAAGGGTACGTGATTGCAAGCATGTGTGCTTTTCAATCTATTTCAGGATGGTCACAGGACAAGTTTTTAGCGTAATCTGCTATAAAAATTGTTACCTCAATCATGTCTGTTTGGAGGGGTCCATTCTAAACATTTATCAATAATGCTGTGCATCAACATCCTTTACCAAACCAAAAACCAAACTCACTGCTGTTGAGTCAGAACCGACTCATAGTAACCTCTCCTTGGGTTTCTGGAGCAGTATCACTACGGAAGTAGATTGCCCAACTTTCCTTCTGAGGAGTGGCTGGTGGGTTTGAACCGTCAGCTAATGATCATATCTTGCATCTGTTTGACCATAGTGGAAAGACCCTCTGGGAATACACTGTGATATCTTGCACCTGTCACACTTCTGAAAAAAGAATGTCTCCTTTAGGATATATGGTCAGTATCAAGGTTAGAGGAACTGTTGTTAGAAAAGGCAGCTTTAAAATGCGTGGATTCTTGACTTAGGTCAAGACTTTAAAATGGAATTAAGGCTCTGCTTTCAGATCGCTCTATTTACACATACCAAGTGCCTCTGATTTTAAGCTCTCATACAATTACTTTGTAACTTTAAAAAACAACTTTAGAAATGTACTTAATCTCCTACCAATCAGATATATCATCACTCAATTTGCAACCATTATCTAAATGTCAACCAATCACTGAATTTTTGCTGAAAATTCCTCGTATTTTCTTATATAAACTCTCTGAACTGTCTCTTCCTTGGATCACTTAGCTCAGAATCCTCTGGATTTTGTGATTACCAGTTTGAAAATTACCTTACACCTCAATAAAAGCTCTTTACTTTTCATTTAAACCAGATTCTGCCATTTCCTTTCTGACACTTTTGTATTGTACCTTTGTATTGTATTGTACCTTTGTTATACTTTTTAAATACTTTCACCCAGTCTGCTCCTTCTACTAAGAAATCCTCTATATCCTCAGCCTCCATTAAAGTCTAGCTTAAACAAAACATCCAGAGGCATTCCCAATCACTTGAGCCATCAATGGTCTTGTTTTCTGTTATCCTCTCATAGCATATGCAAGTTTAGAACCTTCCAGTGACTTGTACGATAATTATCTGTGTAACATATCTTCCCAACTAGAATATAAACACCTGAAATTAAGAATGCAATAGAAAGTTGTGACCTGAACAACATCTAATTATAAAAGACAAAAATAGATACTGTCTTATGTCTGTTCTCTTTTTACTGGAAATCATCTGCCTTTCTTTCTCATGCATAAAGAATTCTTCCCCTGGGGAGCTATCTGTTCCCCTCGTGAGCTGCAGCCAGTGAGAGCAGATGATCCCCTCCACCTTCCTGAAGATTGTGCATACCTGAATAACAACTACCAGAAACCCACTCTTCTCTACCATTCTCTCCTCTTCCACATGTTACTTTGATACTCCGTTATAGTTCTCACTTCCACTCTGTCCATGGTAAAATTCTTCTATACAGAACCTCTTAACAGTCACATCCAAGATAAAGCAAGGTATCAATGCAAAACTGGTGTTGTTTGGCAATTGCTACTGTGTGTTTATGTTTTTTTTTTTTTTTTTTTTAATTCTCTAGTTCTTTTTTGGTAGTTTTTTTGATTGTTGTTTTTGTCTGAGTGGAAGACAGGAACTGTGCCCACACAACCCAACCACACTCACACCTACAGCAGCCACTCTACCTACTGAGTGAGGACCACCACTTGCTTCTGTGCCAACTGGCCAATGATAGACAACAACCAATATAAGCCCAACTCACCCTTAACTGCTTTTCACAAACAGCTAACAGAGATCTGTGCACCCATTCTCATACTCTATCACACCCAACAAGTGATAGATGGTGAGTGCATAAATGCTGCCAATTAGTGAATAGAGGAGCACAGTACCCTACATAATTCAGATATATCAAAACAAAACAAAGGAAAAAAAATCTTGGATAAATCACATGAACATACAATCACCAATCAAATATAAATACAACTTTACAATGTCTCAGAGACAACAGACTACCACAGTCCAAACAAAGAAGCAAGATAAAACAGGAGAAACAAGGGACCAGGATAAAGACTCAGAAAACATCCCTGAGGAAGAAGCAGAATTGGAACTCCATGATGGGGAATTCAAAAAAATTAAGGTATCTTCAATGGATTGAGAGACAGATCAAGGAAAACACTGACAAAATTAAGGAAAACACAGACAAAACCCTAGAAGAATTTCAGAAGACCATACAAGAACAAAATAACAAAATAAATGAAAAATCAGAATTGAAACAAAATCTGTTGATAGAAATCCAGAAAATTAATACTAAATTTTCAGAAATAGGTAACACATTGAATAGGCAAAGGAACAAAACTGAATCAATGGAAGACAGAATTAGTGAAATTGAAGAAAAATACCTCAATACTACTTTGGTAAAACATCAACCAGAAAAAATACCAAAACAAAATGAAGAAAACCTAAGATTCAAGTGGGATACCATCAAGAAGAATAACCTACATGTAATCAGAATTCCAACAGAAGAGACAAATAAAACCATGAGAAAACTGTCAAAGATTTGTTGGGAGAGAATTTTCCTGATATGATTAAAGATGAGAATATATCCATTCAAGAAGTTCAATGGACCTCAAAGAGGACAGACCTCAAAAGAAAATTACCAAGACATATCATTAAATTCACCAAAACCAAAGACAAAGAAAGAATCCTGAAAGCAGCACAGGAAAAATGAAAAGTTACCTACAAAGGGGAACTAGTAAGACTAAATTCTGATTTCTCAGCAGAGACCATGAAGGAGAGAAGGCAATAATGGATGATATATCTAAAACCCTGAAAGGAAAAAAAAAAAAAAAAAACCTCCAACCAAGTATTACATACCAAGCTAAACTGTCCATCAAATAGGAGTGTGAAATTAGGAGATTTCCAGATAAACAGAAATTAAGGAATTTGTTAAAACCAGACCAACTTGACAAAAGATGCTAAAAGGAGTCCTTCAGACAGAGAACCAACAATAGCAAACAACAAATGATGATTAACACACATGACAACATAAACTAGTAACCAACCAGTTATGGAAATATCCAGAGTAAAATAAGCTTACCAGACTGCAAACAGGGAACCAGAGACATTAACTGGTAAATGAGGATACCACAAACCAAAAAGGGGGACTAAATAGTGTAGTTACAGAATTTCTAAATGATGAGAAAGTCAGTATAATTGCAAGACAGAACAGACTGTTTTAAACTTGGGAAGAAAATCATAAATCACAGGGTAACTTCAAAGAAAAATGATAAACCTTTGCATCAAAATAAAAAAGAGGATATGCACAAGTGTATAACGAACACTAAAACAATAGCAACAAAGGAAATGATAACACAATTCATAAACATAATGAGCTCAGCACAGAAAATTATATGAAACAAAAAAATCAGCAACACCATGAAAACAACAAAATGACAGCAACAAACTCATACATGTCAATAATTGCACTGAGTGTAAATGGATAAAATGCACCACTTAAGAGATGGTGACTTGCAGACTGGGTAAGAAAACATGATCCATCATTATGCTGTCTACAAGAGACACACCTTAGAGACAAAGACAAAAATAGACTAAAAATCAAAGGCTAGGAAAAGATGTATCAAGCAAATGGGAATCAAAAAGGAGCAGGAGTGGCAATATTAATTTCTGATAAAATTGACTTCCAGATAAAAACTACCATAAGAGACAAGGAAGGACATTATATAATGATTAAAGGATCAATTGAACAAGAGAGCATAACTATAATAAATATCTATGCACCCAATTAAAGAGCCCCAAAATACATAAAGCACACTTTAACAGAATTGAAAAGACAAATAGGTGAATCCAAAGTAATAGCAGGAGGCTTTAATACACCACTTTCAATGAAAGATAGAACAACTGGAAAGCAACTCAACAAAGACACAGAAGAACTAAACAATACAATCCACCAACTTGACCATATAGACATCTGCAGAGCACTTAACCCAATAACAGCACAATATGCATTCTTTTCCAGTACACATGGAATATTCTCCAGGATAGAACATATGTTAGGCCACAAAGTAAGCCTCAGTAAGTTCTCAGATCACAATGTTATAAAATTAGAAATCAACACTAGGTAGATCAACGGAAAAAGAGCAAACACATGGAAATTGAATAACACCATTCTCAAAAATGACTGGGTAATAGAAAAAATGAAAAATGAACTTAAAAAATACCTTGAATCAAATGAGAATGAACACAACATACCAAAATCTGTGGGACACAGCAAAAGCAGTGATAAGAGGCCAATGTATAGCAATAAATGCACACACCAAAAAAGAAGAGCCAAAATTAACACGTTAACCCAACATCTCCAACAATCAGAAAAAAAGCAG